CAGGCCTATCCAATAACTTTATTGTGCTAAGCCAAAAAAAAGATTACATACAACAAGAGTGTTTGCAAAAATGTGAACAAAAGAAAGGGGTTTATGGAAGTCATTTTTAGAATGTTCCCTTATGGATCCTGACACAGCAAAAAAGACGTTGGCGTACATAACACTTTTTTTTTTCTTCAGGCTTTTTTGGCAGGCACCTCTCACTTGGGGAAACTTTATTTTATTAAACGGCTGTCAGGAAAGAAAAGGATCTGCATTATCACATTTTTCAGGAAGGGTAATCTGGTGCAACAGCTGTTAGCCTTTGTATATTATTTGTAATTCTGTCTCTTCCAAGGTGTGTTAGGAGGCTTGATTTTGATGTACAGGATTTTATTGCAAGTATAAAATAGATTACTGGCAGTGTGCATAAAGGAAGTCTAGTCATTCATACAATAACCATTTTATTCATAAGAATATGTGGAATGCAGGATGGTTATACTTTCTACCATTATTTTAAAACAGTCTTTAAAATGTATAGTGTTAAAAATGATTTTTGCATGCAGGGTTTAATGGGTCTCACTGTTTATAAAACATAAATTTTTATATATTTATGTATGCATTTATATATGTGTATATATTATATACACATGTTAAATACCTTATTATATACATGTATGTTATTACTGTACATAACAATTTAAAATAGATATTTGAAATATTCTGTTCTAATGTATTATTTTTTAACATAAATCCTGTTACTTAAACAGATCAACAGCATGAGTAACAGTGACAATAAGCAATAAAAAAAAATTAGGATAAATCAGATAATATCTGTAAGAAGAGAGTAGCAAAGTATGAAAGTAAATTGTTGTATCTTATCAGAAGCTGTCAAGAGATTTTCTTGCCTCTGTTTGAATGCCTTCCATATAACCTGAGCTGGCTGCTCTGCTTTCTCTCATTGTTAGCAGAGTTCTTCCTTACAATAAGCCCAAGACCATATGCCTGGACCCTCCCCCATGTGTCCCCATTTCTGCCTTTTGAGGTGACTTGCAACAGCTCTGCTCCCTCCCTCTTCTACATATCAACCCCGCCAATACTGAGAGAGTAAACGTAACTCTCTTCACTTCTCCATTCTTGACTAAACAGCCGTATCAAAATTCAACAAGTATCAAGTACTGAGTAAAAGTGAGGAGCCCTCCTTTTGGTACCAGATGACTGTGCTGTCAGGAGAGGTAATGAAATGCTCTGTTTGGGCACACAGAGGGAAGCTATCAAGAGGGTGTTGCCACACATCTTAGACAGCTTATGTGAAACTGACGAGAGGATTGTGCTGTTGGCCATCCAGATACTCTTGCACTTTGTCCGTTCAATGGATTTTACCACCCTGGCTGACATGATGAGGACACTGTTTTCCTTGTTTGGTGATGTAAGACTGAAATTGGCATAGCAGTGAGTAGAAGTTGGCATAATAATAAGTACACTCTATTTTATATAGTGCTTTTTTTACTTTCAGAACACTTTCAAATCTCTTAAAACCTTCTTAGTTAACTATGATGTTGGCAGGGTGGTGTTACTGTCCTTATTTTGCAGATTAAAAAAACTGAGACAGAAAGACTTGCCAAGGTACCATCCTGTTTCATGGAATGGAGAAGAAGCTTGTTTCTTTCCAGGAACAAATGAGCCTGAGCCAAGATGTTGGGCTATGCATATGTCCCAACCCCAGTCCCAAAGGTTTTTCAAAAAGAAATACATGGAGTAAAATAAATAGCATCCTTGGAAGAGTAACACATACCAAGGGTAGGATTTTTAAATGTACCAAAACAGCTTGTATGAATGGTTAATACCAGTACCAGGCACAAGCTGTGATGAGAGAGAAGGGCGAGTAGTGCCAAAGCAACAGGTCTTACTATCTCCAGATGTCTTTGACTTCCTACCCGCAGCTAAACACAGTTCAATAGTTTCATGTTAGGACCGACATTTCAACCCAACCAGAGTTCTTGAAAGCTAAGCATGGACACTTTCAGTGAGCTGCTTTCCTCTGGCTACTTCCGTCATAGGTGAGACCGAATGTTCATCATCTCTCCATGACCCTCTTTGGAGCCTCCATAAAGTCTGTGAAATACTCATATAAGAAGGGTGTAGAGAACCAAGTCTTGGACAGCTTGGTCCCACTACTTCTGTATTCTCAGGATGAAAATGATGCCATAGCTGAGGTAAGGCCTACCATCAACTTCTTTCATCCTTGCATAACTTCAAATCCAGAACCGAATCTGCAAATAAGTATTCCTATCTTTGGAAGTAGGGACTGTGTGAAACTATGTAGTGAATTGTGTGAAAATTCTTATTCCTTACTTCTATATAGCAAATTATGACCCTGTGTGGGTAAGAATAATCTGTTATACCTCTTTGTAGCCCTACCCCACTATACAACCTAGCACAGAGTTCTAAATACATTGTCCAACTCAACAAATAAATCTGCTTATTAATGACAATGACAATATTATATTGTCTGTCATCTTTCACTTCAAGAACTGCCTCATGGCCTTGAGACAAATAGACTTTTGCTGGGACTAAATTAGAAATAGTAGCTTCTCTAACAATCTGGAGAAGCCTTTACCTTGTCTTAATCTTCCAAGAGTTTCTGCCATCAAAGTTGTGGTTTTCCATTTAAGCCATCCTAGTCTCAACTGGGGAGCTCTGGTAGCATAGTGGCTAAGATACTTGCCTGCTAACCAGATGGCTGGCGGTTCAAACCCACCAGCCACTCCTCGGAAGGAAGGTTGGGCAATCCTACTTCCGTAGTGATACTGCCTCGGAAACCCAAGGAGGGGTTGCTATGAGTCAGGGCTGACTCGACGGCACATAACAACATCAACAACAGTCTCAACTGGGTAGACAGTGGGAGGTTGAAAGTATCATCATCTTTAGTGCTGTCTTACACCTCAGATGTCTCTAAGCCCATGCGTTAACTTGTCCACCAGTAACAGCTACCCAGGGAGGCAGGTTTAGACCACAAGGATTCTGGAAGAATGAGTGAGCTCCCTCTTACAGAAATGAAACTCAAGTTCTACAGGTCCAGAAACAGGAACCTTGTTACTGTACTGACGCAATAAATATGAAATATTTCAGACTCCTGGTATAGAGCAGAGCTTCCCAACCAGGTAGTAGAGCAGTATCCCATATGGTGATTACTGATATGTGGAGATACTGCTTGCCACCCTCCCCCGACTAAGCCTTTGGCAATCACACAAAGCCTAGAGCAAATGAAGCTCTAGGTTTATTTTCCTTCAAATGCTGAACAACTTCTAGGCCCCTCTTCCAAGACTTCTCAAAAGGTAGCCCAAGGACAGAGGAGGGTCTGACGTTAAACCCTGGGAATTACTGACACAGAGAATAACATGAACACCCATATATCTACCATCTATTCATAAGAAATAAAACATGTGCCTATTCCCCGCTTGAATCCTACCCAAGAACTATCATTCTGAATTTTCCTTTCATTCTTTCATGTTTTAAAACTTTGTTATATCATTCTAAAATAGCTTTCAGAAACTGCCTTTTTGTTGTTTTAACATTGTATTTATGAGATATGTCCATATTGTATAGCTCCAGTTTATTCATTTTCACTGTTACATAGTATTCCATCATATAAACATCCTGCAATTTACCGCATTCACTTATTCCTGCACATTTAGATTGTTTTCAGTCATTCATTATTGCAAACAGTGCTGCAACAAGCATTCTTGTGCATGTGTGTATACATATGTGCACATGTGTGAAAGTTTCTTAAGTATATAAACCTGTAAGTGGAATACCTTGGTTTCTTTAACTTTGCCAAATATATACAAGTTATTAAACAAAGTAACCGAACTAATTTATATTCCCATCAGTCTCCAAAGATACAGTGGATCTGGGACAAAATACTTGCTTGGAGACTCATCAGAAGTGTTGTACGATGCATGGGAGGCATTCTAAGAGGAATGAGCTAGAGAGGAGGCTGAGTTGCTAATGTGTGCTCAGGTATCTGGAGCAGGAAGAGAACTCTCTAGAGTTCCTTCCAGCCTAGAGATTCCACAAAGGTGGTAAGAAGAGGGCCTGCACCTCCCTGTTAGAGTGACAGAAAAATGACATAAGAGCAGCAAGTGGGGGTGGGGGCTTGGGCTAGTGGTTTTCCTGCCCAGAGCTCTGGTCTGCACATTACATCACTTGCTCTGACTTTTGCCCTAGTTCAGTGGTTTCTGCACCCTGCTCCCTAGGACCCCAGAGATTTTATAGATCTCTTAGGGACTGTTTGGGGAAGATGAAGGTGGAGGACACCAGTCCCTCACTTCATCTAGAGTAATTGTGAGTTTATCAGCTTTTCATATTGGGCTTCAGTGTTAGTTTTATTTGAAGAAAGGTGACTTCAGCTAAAACTTGTTTTAAAATGATGATACATGATTTTCCTTTTCACAGGAGAGCAGACGAGTCCTATGTATATGTGCCCAGTTCCTGAAGTGGAAGCTGCCCCAAGAAGTGTACTGCAAAGATCCCTGGTACAGCAAACCTAACAAAGTTGGAACAATCTGCAAATTCTTTGTATGTGAGCAATGATGGTTTTGTTAACTGTTAAATATGGTGACCTGCATTTTTTTTCTGACAGTTTTTAGTGGAGGAAAATGGCATAAAGGAACCATTTCCCATCCCTTTCCATATTAGCAGTTGGTATCTACGAATTGTTTTGTACCATGGATCTATTTTCCTATTGTTCCCTCCCAAAGGAGTCATAAATTCGCTTTTTTATTATCACCCTTCCTCACAAAAACACTGGTGAACTCCTGGAAGGTGCACTGTCAAGAGGCTACAAGGTCAGGCTGATAGTAAATGCTGAAAAAATTACTTGTGGACTGAATTGAAATGGAGTTATGTGTTGCTTTTACAATGATCTCTAATCTTTTTTTGATATAAGTGGATTGTTTTACCCTCCATCAGAACATGTTCAGGGAACTTCAGTGAGGGCTGCTGTGCTGTTACAGGCCATAGAGCATGACTGCAGCATGTCACTGGCTCTACCATGACCCAAGATGGTATCCTTTCTTCCCACAAACTTGGCAAAGGCTACTGTGGCTGATCTCAGTCCTGGCCACCTCAGGAGGCCCATAGTTATTCTAGACAGCTGACTCTAGGACCACCTGGATCCTATCAGAAGTAAGACTAAGACTGGCTATTCCCAGGGATCTGCCATATCTATAGCCTGTTCAGGACCCAGTGTGGACTCTTCTGATCATACTTAGGGAGTTAGGAATCCCACAATGCCCTTGTGTCAGACTTTCCACAGAGGATTCTCTGTCTGGCCTGCAGCCAAACCTATACCTGTGCACTGATGACAGTATTTACAGCAGGAAACTTGGCACTCTGAATGAATAAAACTACTGACTGTCCATGTTAAACTATAAACTCTATGAGGGCAAATTCCTATTTCCCCCTTCTATCCCTGAGATGCCCATCCTTGTAAGGAATACACTGAGAAGTGCACTCATTCATCCTATGAGCATAACATGTCCAGTGTACACCAGGCAGTGAAGAACCCAGAACCTTCCCAAGGACTGAAACTTCCTGAGGGAAGCTTATAAGTCAAATAAAACCTCCACAGTAAATTAAATAGAAACTCAAGGTGGAAAATATGTGCCAAGAGAGGAGTGCCTGCAACAGTCAGAGCAGGGCTAGGTCAGGTAGGAGAGAGCTGTCAGGGAAGGCTCATAAGGCAGCAGGCTCAAGGTGAAACTTAGAGAACAGAAAAGATTCAGATACAGAGAAACGAAGATAGCTTTGGTGGTGTTACAGGCACACTGTGCAGCATGAGTGGGTGAAAAGCAAGGTATGTTCACAGGATTTAACTCTGTCTAGGTCAGAAGGGACCATTCCCTGGAGAAGGATTCATGCTTGGTAAGGTGGAGGGTCAACGAAAGAGGGGAAGGCCTTCCACAAGATGGATTGATGCGGTGGCTGCGATGATGGGCTCAAGTATAGCAGGGATCATGTAGCTGGTGTGGGATCGGGCAGTGTTTTGTTCTGCTGTGCATGGGATAGCTATGAGTCGGAAACGACTCGACTGCACCTAACAACAACAAGGGATTTGTCACTGTGGCATAATATTCATTAGCAACCATAGTTATTTCAAGTACTATACTATATGTAGATAATCCAAACTAGTCCCGGAACCTAAAAGCTATGCTGACACTGATTAAGATAGTGCTGCTACTTCACTGTTCGTACTCCTTTTTTCCCTCTACTTAGGAAAAAAAATGCAAGGGGAAAGTTAACCTCATAGGCCAAACATTGATGTACTCCAAGAATGCAAAACTTCCTATCAGAAGAGCAGCAACATTATTTGTAGGTACAACGAAAATTATTTCTACAGTCAGTTTTATCTTGAACTTTCCCAAATTGTGTTTACAAAGATGACCTGGGAAATACTTTTAGGAGAAAGGGGCCATATTATTGATATGTAACTACCACTTGGAAGTCCAGGTTTTGGGATCTGCCTGATTATTGAAAAGCCAAGTCTTCCAACTGCTTAGATTTTCCAATAATAAAAACCTTTGGGTATTGTTTTGGTTACCTCTGTGCTGCTCTAACAGAAAATACCACAAATGGGATGGCTTTAACAAACAGGAGTTTATTCTGACCATTTTTTTTTTTTTATTAGGATTTGGGTGAAGATTTACAGAGTAAATTCACTTTTCATACAGCAGTTCACATATACTTTGTCTCATGTCATTGACCAAAATTTACAATGCAGCAGCTCCCCTCCCACTTCCTCCCCATAGTTACCTCCTCCCAGTGTCCATCCCTTCATACTCTTCTGCACCCTGAGCTATCTCCCTGTGCATAAGCAGCCCTTCCTTCTCCCATGATTGTTCTCTCCAGGGCGTGTGTCTACTTGAGGTAAATGTTTAACTCACATGCCTGTACTTTGTTTTGGCTGGAAACCACAGTTGTGGGTTCAATTCCAGACCTGAAGGGCAGCTAGGGGCCATAGTCTCAGTGGTTACACCAGGCTCTATTGGACCAGCAAACCTGGTCCCCACCTTCTTTTTTTTTGCCTCCAAATGATTTTGAGTTTTGTTCCACATTGTTCTCCCTCTTTATGCAGGATCTCCTACATCCCTTCCAAGTGGATGGCAGTGGTAGCTGGGCACCATCTAGTTCTTCTGGTCTCCTAGTTGTGTAGGTTGCAGATCGGATGGTGTACCAGTCGCTAGGACTGATTGTTTCCATTAATTTTGGTTTTCTTCTTTCTTCTTGACAAGGAGAGACCCGTTGTTGCATCTAGATGGCAGCTTCCTAGCTTTTAAGGTCCCAGTCGCTACTCGCCAAAGTAGTAGGTGGAACAATGTTTTGTATAGTATGTTATGCCAATTGAGCTTGATGTCCCCTGCGACTATGGTATTCTGACCATTTTTGGAGACTAGAAGTCTGAGTTCAAAGTGCCAGGCTCTTGGGGCTGGGTAAAAACATCTCGACTTTGGGCTTCAGCTCTGCCTCTTGCCCCGGCCCACTGAAGCTAGTGGCTTTTCTTCACTCAGGCAATAGCTGGTTGCTGAGGCTGACAAACCCAAGGTCAACAGGTGAAAAGGCACAGTCTCGATATCACCAAACAATTTGGCAGACTATTAATTCAAGTCCAGAAAAAGTCCCAAGATCGGCAGGGCATGGCAGGCTGTTGAACAATGACTTAGATACATACAGAGTTCAAGTGTGCCAAAAAGCTAGAGACCTTCCTCAAAGCTGCTTCTTATACACTGGAAGCAGAGCACATCCCTAAAGCAGCTACTCAGCTGCTCCAGTAGATTCCACCATGGACTTAATTGCCAATCTCACCATGGGGATTAACTGTATCCAGCTGCCCAGCCACTCAACCAGGCCCAGCCAAGCTGACAACAACCTTAACTACCACAGGTATTAATTTTCAACAACAAAAGCCAGATCACAGACTCACTGACTTTATTCTATATTTAGGACTCTTAGCAAAGTACATGGATTACAGTGAGCTCAAGATGAAGGGTACTGACAGGATAGAGGATGGTAAGTAATAACAGGCCTGGGTTTGGGGGTACACCCATACCTTAGAAGGTATCTGAGTAAATGACTGTGAACAGGGTTGCTTTAATTCATTGTGATGAAGCTGAAACTCTGTCTTCCAGAAGCCTGCCTTTTTCAGTAATAAAGCCTCTGGTGACTTTAACTGAATGACTCTCTCATCCCAGTCCAACTCCCCTTTTAGGAAAGGACACAACCCTATTTGTCTGGAAATCAGCTTTGATGAATGTTTCAGGGACAGTTCCTAAACTTTGTCAATCAAGAATAAGACGTTACCTAGAAAAGCTATCTAGTGAATTATGAGGATACCTTACACATACCACAGACATAACTGTAATTTTGTTTTCTATACACAGTTTTTCTCAACAATGCTAATAGAGATGTTTTATATTCCTATTCAGCAGTCATCATGCAGGTGGTTTTCTCAGTTGTTAGTGAGTGGAATTTTTCTGTAATTGTAGCTTAACAGATCTGGCATTTAAAGAACTATTTATTTCCACTTCAGAAGTAGTCCTACAATTGGAAAAAGCCATGGAATTCTAAGTCTCACAATTCAAAGTATATACTTGAGTACCAACTCAAAATCCTGAAAAATGTACTACTTCTAAAGTAAAAATATGTAACCAGTTAAAAAATAATAATAATAAGGCTAAATGCTAAACCTTATTTGAGAAAGCATATGCTACTTTTCTCTAAAGTCTCCAACTTCCTCATAGATACTAGAAGCAAAATGAAAAATCTCTGTACATTATTTTGTTCTATGGAGTAGGATTCTGTTCAATTAAAAAGAAATCATTTTCTAACCTAAAACATTGGGGAACTAAAGCTCCTTTTCTATTCAAAAATTATCCATATCAAAGATGTAGAAAAAGTATGTAAAATTATATACATAGATTTTTAGGTTGAACCATATGAGACTGCCATTTTGCAGGTTGAAAACGGTCAAATATCCACAATTGCATGTGGTCCAACCTTATGGAATAATACTACCTTCTTCCCTCTGTAGCAGTGGTTTATCTGTTTTAGAAATAAAGTGTTCTAGCACCCTTTTTGAACAAATTTAACTCTTTTGCCATAGGTAATTTTGAATCTAAATTTAAACAGAAAAATAACAAAATTTTTAAATAC